GGCAAAATCAATTAATTTTATTTAAAATAGTCTCCTTCTGCTTTAATACAGCTTTTTGCACGGTCCAAAAGCATGTCGAACGAGTGTTTTAGCTCGTTGCCCGGTATGGCCGCCAGTATGCCGGGGCAAGCCTTTTGAATGGCCTCCATGTCTGCATGACGCTTTCCTTTCATCGGCAAATGCATTATTCCAAAAAGGTAGAAGTCTCACGGTGCCATATCAGGTGAATATGGGGAGTGGTTGATTGTTAAAATGTGATTTTTGGTAAAATAATCGGCCACAAGCGTCGATCGATGAGACGGCGCATTATCGTGCAACAAACGCCAACTTCCATCTTCGCGATATTCGAGCCGAACACGTCGAATACGGCGCATTAAACGCTTCAAAACTCCAAGGTAGAATACCGCATCAACGTTTTTGGCCTTGTCTTCACTTTTGACTTCTCCAGGCGCGATTTTTTGGGTTTCGGCTCATTTCTCATTTATGTCCTCACGACCACTTTGAAAACGTTGAAACCACTCGTGCACTCTGCTACGGGATAGGCAATCATCGCCATAAACTTGTTTCATCTATTGAAACGTTTCGGTAAAAGTTTTACCAATTGTAAAACAAAATTTAATGTTGGCTCTTTGTTCGAAGCTCATTTTCGCACCGATGACAAAAACATACTGACACTTAAAACACAATAACTTCACTTCTAATAGATGAAATGTCATGAAATTTTTACTGGAAGTCGATAAAGGATAGCAGATTCTAACGCACTAGTCGACATATAGATGGCGCCACTAGAGTTTACTTTGTTACTTTTTTACTGTTTACTTTGGAACGCACCTTGTATATATAATGTACATTTGCTACAATTGTGTATTAAGAAGGAACCATCTGTAATATATTACTTACACAACTCCTGAAAAGTTGTCGTTGTCCTTGACTATTCGCATATATGTTTTTCATGTCATTAAACACTTTTAGTCTTCGTTTCCTTCTTCTTGATTTTGAAAAATACATTTTCGTTTACACCGCCACTCTCAAACATTTTACGAAATGATTTTTACAATATTTTTTTTTTATGAATGAATGAATTTAAATAGTAAATTTATGAAAAATACGGTCTTAAAAAATATTTCCTGTTTTCGCAGATCTAAACATATGCTGTAGAAAAGTATATATCAGTTATATATACATATGTTTAGATATATTAAACTAATATATCTATATAGTCCAATGCTTACATGTTGTTAATGATTTCAGTTACATATGAATTTTATATACAAATTTGAATAAGTGCATATGTCGAAAGTAGGCTGCTGCAAGTTGAAGTTGCAAATTTCAATCTCTGATGTCTCCAAATTGTTTTCATACACCACGATCGCCCAATTAATTGTAGTAACCTACAGTTATATGCTTACATGATGACAAAATATATTTGTAATTATATATATGTATGTTTAGTTGATTGATGATGCTTGAGTGTGGATAAATCATAGTTGATTGTAGATTACTTGATTGTTGATTGCTGATTGTTATGGTTGAATGTTGCATGTCGTTGTTTTTATTTTGAGCTAGATTAAATTTTCTAACCAAAGTTACATAATTCGATATCGTTATTTTTTAACATATGACTATTTGTATGATAGATATTTACAGAAAAAACATACAATAATATTATTGAAAACATACCTTATTTAATTGTGTTTGTAAAAACGGAAATTATATTTCACACATGTTTTATATGCATATACATTAGGGTGTCCGTTATTTCGTAAGTTGTTTTTTTTTTTTTGCAAACGCCCTCTGAAGTTTCAGTTTTTGTCATAATACACGTAAACAAATTGAAATCGTACCTAAATCATATATCTAACATGTAATTTTTTGATATTGTGCATTAAACAAGTAAACTACAACCTCAAGTTATATTCTAGTACCAAATTTCCGCTCTGCAAAAATGTTTTTTTCATAAACCCATTCCTTTAAAATTATATGCAGGTTAAGTTATACATCAAATGCACTGAGGCTCAGTAATTCAGTAAATGAGCGTGCATCGTTTGGGCAACACAGAATTTTTAGGGCACTTGTATGAATGCTCATACATTTAATGCATACGGTTAATTGCGTATTACTTTTAAAGGAATGCTTTTATGAACAAATCATGCAAACCTTTGTTGTGGGGTGGAAAATTTTGTATTCGAATTTAATTTTTTCAAAATTCTACGATTATTTGCTTTGAAGATATAAAATTTGTTGCAAATGATCAAAAAATCCCATGTAAAATAAATGGGGTAAAAATGGATTAGGCACTGTTTAAATTTAAGATAAAGAGTTTGTTTACGTTCGGTTCTTTTTTAAGGACAAAAACTGAAACTTCAGGATGAGTTTGCAAAAAAACTTAACTTGAGGAAATAACGGACTCCCAAATATACATATATGTATGTACATACCTATGCACAAAATGAAAATATACATGCATATGCACATACACTACAACTTACATACAGTAATTAATAACCCTGCCAGCCACGGCTCCCCAGAAGTTTCAACGCAATTACACAATTTTTCTTCAAGCACCAACACCAACGCACACTTTTGAGATATTTCTTTTTTGACTAATTTCGAATTTCCTAAACATACAAAACTTGTTATCTCAATTCTTGATCTTATTGAATGAGTGCGAATAAGAAAACATATGTATTTGTCATTAGTGCCAATAGAAAAATCCGAAAAAGGGAAATTAAAATGCGAGTGAAAAATGTCAAAAGAAAAAGTTATTTTCGTTTTTAAAAAGCAAAGGTAAGTCGACAAAATATTGTGTAATTTTATAAATTTAATTTATCTATTTCTAGCATAACAATCAATGTACGTTGATGCCTTACATTGGATGTGGGTAGATTCAGTAAGTATATTTCAGATAACTAAAAAAAATATTTTTTTATAAAAATTTATTTTATTTCCAGATATATAAGAATTTAATTGAAACTGTGATGGACTTCTTTATACGCTCTGCATGACTGTTCTATATAAGCTCATAGTACGTGGATTGGCGTCTACGCGGTCAATGATTTAAGTGTCTAGAAACTTCAATGATGGATAAAACTCCAATATAATTGGTGTAATTAAGATTTGTAATAACATTTTGTTTGTTACTTAAAGGAAATTAATATTTTAGGTTAACCTTAGATTTATAACCAATAGTCAAAGTATGTAAAATAATATATATGTAGTAAAAAAAAATTTTAATTCAAACATTTTGTTTGCAATTTTAAAAATATTTTTAATTAGGAATCCGAAAATGTGACCGTGCGTTAGCTGACGATTAGGAAAATTAAAGCAGTTCAGCTATATGCTTTTTGTATGACACTGCTGAATGAATGCAACAATGAGGACTGGTCTATGGCGCGTTCACCAGCTTTGAAGGTTTGAAGACTTAGTGTTTCACTAGTTTTTTAACCACTTTTCGTTGGCAGGAAATGATTTCTTCAATAAGCTTAATTTCGAAATTCTAAGTCAAACATTTCGATTTTACCGGCTAACTTCGTAAAACGAAGAAACTAATTTTTTTTTACTTAGTACGTAATCTCACGAATAAATTGGTTCAGTCTAATTCCCAGCTGGGTGTTTTACACTGTTATCATAGAGCTGATATTGTTGTACATTTATTGCTTTAGATTAAAAGCGATACTTATTATGTGATATTTGGTAACTTATTGAAGCAATAATGGGTAATTATACTTGAAACTCAACACAGATTAGTGCAACAAGTGGCGCGTTCTACAAGTTCTACGCCGCTACCTGATGGAGTTTGCTTTATTCCTCGCTTAACATACCCTCTTTTACTTTTACACTCATTAGTTTGACTTGAATGAAGGAAGTACGAATATTTAAGAGTAATGACGTACGTTTTCTTATTTTAGTTTGTTTACCCACTTCAGCGGAGATTACTTTAAGTCCGTTGATAAAGTGGATGTATTTATTTTTATTTTAATGCGTTAGTATTTGCTTTTTTGTTTATTAATCGCATTTGTCGTTTATTAAAATATAATAAAAAAATAAGCAATCCACTTTTCCATATTCATTTTATACAATCAATATTAAAATTATCGAATTTTTTGATCAGCTTTGATTTAACTAGTCGATTATATGTAAAAGAAAAATAAAAATATAGAAATGACTAAATATTTTCACATTTCTTATATTTATATATTTCTTATCTTATATAATATTAATTTATCAAAAGTTCCAATGCGATTAAAAAAGATTAAAGTTTAGGGGGGTGTAGGCGGAAGAAAAAAATAGAATGAATAATTTTTAATCTATTATTATTAATATTTGTACTATAATTGACACTTATTCTTCAAACAGTCACCGACGCAAAACCGTAGACCGAATCAGCTGATACGACCTATCTTATGAGAGCGCAATGCAAATGAACACCTACCACCGCTTCTACAGACCGCAGGTAGGATATCCGCGAAAAATTTTCCGTAATAACGAGTAAGGTGATTGCTCTGTAGCAACGCAGTGTTGCCAGTCTCGATATTTTGTATAAATTAAAAAATAAACTTGAATATATTTGAAATATTCTTAAACTAACTCGAAATCACAGTCGAATACATTTATTTATAAATAGGTTGACTATTTTTTTATTAGTTGGATTTTAGTTCTGAACATTCTGCATTATGAAAAATTATAACTAAAAAACTAAATGTGTGAAAAATCGTGTATACAAATTGAAAAACGACAACATTGAATGAAAACAAAAGAGAACAACAAATTTCTATGTTGACATAAGTTTTTACAAATTTGATTTGATACGGGCGGTATGTACGAAAGGGCGGAATGCCGGTGACTGTTTCCAGCATTAATAGCTAAGTGTGATAAAAGAGTAAACCAGAAAAAGGATAAGAAAATACTTATGTCACGTTATAATTTGGTATATTTGTTTGCTAAATCAATATTTCATTTTTTAGAGCATTTTATTAAAAAAAAGCATTATTTCAAATACATCCAACAACAAAAAACGATAACTTGGATTAGACCGAATCTAAATAAAATTTCCATACAGCAACATGATTTTGATCGTTCAGTTTTTATGGCAGCTCTATGCTATAGTAGTCCGAAGAGGAATATTTCTTCGAATATTCTAGTGTTGCTTTAGACAATTATCCATGCCAAATTTCGTAACTAAATTTTTAAAGTTCAGTTTGTATGATAGCTATATGGTTTAGCAGTTCCGACAGCTTATTAGAGAGAAAAGCACGTGTTAAAAATTTCAGAGTGATACCTTAAAGAGTGAGGGACTAGTTCACGTAAAATACAGAGGGTTAGACGGACAGCCATGGCTTAATCGACTCGATCTCGTCATGGTGATCATTTATATATATGTACCATATATATTTTATAGAGTCTCTGACGTTTTCGTCTGGCTGTTACAAACTACGTAACAAACTTAATATAGGGTATATTAAGCTCGAGTTATAAAAATGATTGTAACAATCGACAAACCCTAATTGAACCACTGTAGATAACGTAATGCATTTATGGTACTTAACATACATAACTACCCTTTTGCTTGCGGTCACATATTCTGTATGCTGATCAATAGTGTTGTAACAGGAATCGGTAAGTATATGTATATAACTTATTGCAAACATATCTACATATGTATGCACATACAATATTGTTAAATTATACACGTGCGTGTATGACAACATAACACTGTGTACCTAGTGAGCTTTTGAGCAGTACCTAGACACGTAACTACATCCATACATATGAATGAATTTTAAAAGGATGCTTTTGAGTTACATATCTACCTACCATGCCTGTATGAACTCACATTCAGAAGTAATTATATTGCGGTGAAGACGTTGGATACACAAAGGATTGCTTTAACGGTTAAAAGCCTTTAATCAAATTTCAAAATTTGCAAACTAAAATTTTTGTTGCCAATTACCAAGTACTTAAGGGCAACAAAAATAATATGCAAAGAAAAGAACGGAAACAAATGTATAGTAAAAAGTTAAGTTTAAATATTTCAAGAAAGGAATAACAAAAACTTAAAAATGGCAAACGGCTTTTAGTAAGTATTCTTACAGGCACACATATTAATTTTTATGGCTCTGCATTTGATATAGATGGTTGACTTATTTGTTTTACAAAGTTCTGTTTTGAATTTTATTGCACTTTCACTGTCACTTCGGCGATTGCTAAGTATTAACAGCATTTTTTTTTAATGTAAATATATTTCATCGATTTTTAATTTAATGCTCTGTTTGGTTTTTTTTTTTTGGGTATTTCTTAGTATTATGTATAAATATATGTAAATGTTTAGCACAGTCATAGTTTCATTTACATGATTCCAACTTCAATTCACTGATATCTATAAAAACACAACGTTATAGCATTAGTATGCATTGAGGTTTAAAAAATGCTAATCGTCATTTTAAAAGTAAAAACCATATTATTGGTCTATGAAAACAGTGAAATCTTTGTTCTTCATTTCAGTTTTTATTAACAGTTTACAACGCATTAATTGCTTAAGTGAACATACAAACAACAAGATATATACACATATACCTATGTCTGTATGTACGTACATACGCACATTGTTTAAGTGTAGGACTAATGATGTGTACAACCACATTTGTTGTGTCTGAATCTAAGTCCAAAAAAAATAAACCTTTCAAAAATATTTAATATCTAGTGAGCGCCCAGAAGGCACTATGAAATTATCGATTGATTTATGGATAACACGGTATGCTCCCTTTTTTTTGAATAAACACTAAGAAACTGTTGTTTAATCTTATTGTGCTCTGACGAAATTGTACAGGAAAGTAAATTATTGGCCGCCTACATACAAACCTCAAATTTCAATTCATTGCTGAATATGCTTTGGAGATTTTTCAAAGATATTTCAAGATTTTCACCATAAATTCTGCTCACCATAAATTCGTTCATTACCATAAATTCTGCTCGTTGGATGTTTTTAAGACACGAATCTTACTGAACGAAATCGGTTTATTTTCTCTTTTAATCGTTGGCTCAAAAACATTCAGCGCATTTTACAATAACTAAGATGCAAGATAATTTTGATAAAGTATTTGACTTAGAGATTTTCTTATAACTAAGATGTGCGATAATTTTGATAAAGAAATATTTCTTTTGGCTATGCTTATTGTAAGAACTAATTTTTCGCGCATATTAGAATGGGCGGTTAAACAAAGAACAATGCAATTTTTTTTTTATTTTGTTCATTTTAGAATATCAGATAGTTAGTTAAAAGCGGATAATACTTGTGCACACTTATTATATATTTCTTATACGTATAATGTCTGTATGAGTAAATACTTATGTTAGGAAGAAATTATGATATTTTTCTTTCCATCAATACCGAAGAATTGTTTTTATTTATTTGTTGTGAGGAAGAAAAATTTTTAAACGGAGTATGTTTTTGGCGATTTGTTACTCAGAGGCTTTGTTATAAAAATATTTGATATGGTAATCCCTACTTTCCCATTTTTCGGTTTAAAAATTGTTGGTTTAGTGTTTTTGTTCTTACACATATGTACAAATGTTTGGCAGCTGACGATTTTTCAAAGTTAAAGAAAGATGTTAAATTTAGTTTTCTGATAATTATATATACCTAATTTGTACAGTACTAAAGTTTACGAATTCAACAATTTTTATACAAACTAGTGGGATATATGTATTTACATATACAGCTCGATGCACTAAAACTCATATAATATGTTGCAAAATAAACGATTTTGAGTATTAAGGTTCGAATATGGCTATTAGAGTTAGCACAGAAATCTAATGTGCATATAGGAAGAAATATTAAAAAGTACTTTTGGACTGAATAAAAATAATAAAATTATTTTGTCCGGAATCACATGAATATCTAAAACATACATATATACATGTGGCCGCTACCCCTGTAATCCATTTATAAAGGTATAGTTTCCATAGGTTCCGTGCTTCTAGCGAGAACCGTCTTGTTCTATGAGATTGTCGTAGTCAGAATCTGCTCTGTACACCATGCGCCCATAAAAGTAAGCATGCACATTGTATACACTTGGGTTTTCAATTTAATTATACTTTTGCGCGTTGTAAGTTTGTAAGATAAAATTTGTAATATTTTTTGAAAAAAAATTGAAATTTGCATGCTATCTTTTACCGGCGGTAAATTGTTATATTGTCATAAATTAGTTGATGGCGGTTGCAATAACACTCGAGCTCGAGTTATACGCTCACTCACTCATTCTATATGCAAACGAAGAATTATTTATGTACAAATATATGGTTGCATGTATGCCCGCACTTGTGTTTGCACTTGTCTATTGGCAAATTAAAGCACATATACAACCTCACACGTGCGCTCTTTGATTAACCAATAAATGGCATTAAAACACGCACTAATACACAGTAAACCAATTAACAACAAAAGCCACGCAATAAATACGAGTAGACTTTTGAAATACCGACGGTGTTTGACACCGTAGCTGCTCAGGCTTTGATTAGTGCATATTATTCGCTCTCGCTGCGAAATACCTTAGTATTTTCAAGACTTTTTTCTGATCGTTGGTCAACAAGTGTTTGATTAGGTGATCACCACTAATTTACACCCGACAAATTAAATAACATAAGACGGTTCAGAAAGTAATTCACACAACTTACAGCTGCAAATTCGCGACAGAACGTTTGAACAAATATTATCAGCTAATAAGCTGCCACTAGCACTTTTTCTTTTATTGATCATATAATTCTGCCTTAATTTATATATATATATGTATTTTTTTTTTAATTATACGATACGATTTTATTTTTGATAATGATGTAGCCGGGTTGATTGCACGCACCGCACTAGTATATTGCCTTGCAGCACAAGTTGAGGGTGTACACTGTATATACAGTCAGCCATCGCTCACACTAACACCCCACTAATACGGTCAGTGAGCGTTGAAAAGAGGCAAAAGCAAGAGCAAAAAAGCGGCAAGTACGCAACGATAGGGACAGCATTGATGACGATAGCTACAGCTATGGTTGGCTTTGGCTACGAGGAACGCATACCAAAGTGCTCGTTACACATATACAATGCATTTGTACAGTATACATGTATATGTGTGAGTGTATAGAGTCACTGTCATCGACATTGTTAAAAAATAAGCGAGTGAGAGTCCATTACAAGGCGTTGAGCGCAACGAATAAGGTGCAAAAGAAATTCGGTGAGAAGAGACAATATTGTCAGAACAATTTACTTAGACTACATTAATGGCAGCAGTGGTGGCAATCAAGGCTGCCGTTTAAAATGCATAGACAAAAAATTTAGTATTGTTTGACAAACATTGTTTACTATTATAGCAGGTTTTTTTCACACTTATTTCAGTACTTTTTGCCGTTAAAAATATTATAATGTTTTCAAAAACTTCTTCACTAACTGTCAACTACATAGGTTAGTTTTTATCTTGGTGACTCCTAACACAGAAAAATGAATCAGTGGGGCTGAACATTGCACAAATCAGACGGGGGAGCTCTCTAAAGTTAATAGCTTACAAATAGTACAAAAACAAAATTCTGTGGTATTTTAACTTTAATCAGTCTTTATTTACATATATCGATCAAAACCATATAACGTAGCATACTCAAGCTGCACAAATTATATCACAAAGTTAAATGTTATAACAAATTAATAGCAATGTTGTGTAGAAAATATTGCTGACAATTTTGAATGCTGCCGAGTTGACAGTCTTTGGTCGGATAAAAATGCCGGTCCGTTCCGGTTACGTAGACTGTCGTAGAAACAGCTTTAAAGATACCTTCACAGAAGTGGTAAATTTTTATAAACTATAATCTAAGGAAATAATATTAATAAAACAAGCATTGCAGAGTAATAATAGAAATGAAAATTCGTTGGTTCCAAGACTTAAGTAAAATTTTTCAAACCTTAAAAATCAAATTAGAAAAAAAATATTAATGCAATATCACAAATATTAAATATTTATATTTTTTATTGTTACAGTCGTTTTTTACTTAGTACTTAACTTCACGTAGTGTATTACTTAGAAAATGAAAAAGTGAAACAATATCGAATACTTTCAACATTTGCTGTGATATAATTTTTACCGGCAAAGCGGCAACACTGGTGATCACTGCATCGACGTCAAGACCGATGTCAACGACTGAAGCAACAGCGGCAAACAAATCTATGCTATAATTCACCAACAATAATAACAATGTAGATGTGCAGCCGGCGTCGTTGTTGCAGTGAACAAAACTTCAAGTTAAAATCAGGTAATGCAAGTCAAGCGTCTTTAGGCCATTTGCCATTTGGTTGTCTACAACTGTAGGTCTCTAAATGCGCATGCTGGTCGCCGAACGTTCCTTAGTAAATAGAAGTGTTAAACGCTTTATTTATTTTTTAATTGATTTTCATTTTGCTTAAAATTATTTATATATAAGTTTTTCAATAATGAAATATTTATTATATACTATGTACTTTAAAAATATTTAATATACCTTAAAATAATGTACAGCGTATTTCTTGCTTGGAAGACTTTGTGAAAATGTTAAGATTATGGTATTTACTATAGTTTTGTTTGCTTACATAATATATTGTCGTAGATTTATATTTATACAAAAAGCTAATGAACATAATATCTAAACGCAAATTAGCATTTAAACATATTTTCATCATTATGTAAATTTAAAGAAAATTGAATAAAAGTTTCAGCTCACAGACTCAAGTATTTATAGGTAATAAAGAGTCAAATTAATCTGTTCCAATGATGAGTAAATTATAAAAAGTTTGTTGTTTTCATAAATTTAAGGCAAGTGCTTTCATACAAAAGCAAATTTGCCAGAAAGAAATAAAATATGCTAAAAAAAATATGCCAGAAATTCTCTGCAGAGCAAAAAATCATTTATTATATTATATATTATATATAAAATAGAAAAATATGCCAGAAATTCACTGTCAAACAAAAAATCATATATTATATACATACGTTTATTGTTTAAAGAAATCTTGATGTCGTCATTTTGTTTGTATTTACATAAAAACGATAGCGCACTAGAAGGGAGGCGAAAAAAGTTAACTTGTACAATGTTTGTGTTTAAATTTCATGACGAGGTATTTATTACTGGAATTTGTGAAAACTAAAATGTTTCAGACTTCCATATTCCAATAAATCAAAGCCTCTTCAAATGACTATACCATATATAATACATACATACATAAATAATCTACAATTCGTTTTAGAGACAGTGGTAGTAAGTATAATATGAAATACAACGGCAGCATAAAACTCTATGAATCGCATAACTTCTAATAGTAAGTTTAACTATTAAGTTTGATATTCGATGTGACTATGTATCTCATTAACGGCTTTGTTTGACACTTGCCTATTATATACATATATGGTACATAAGTATGTACAAAGGAAACAACGCGACTGTATTCATTACTCACCGATTGTACTCTCGCTACCTCTTTGATGAGCGCATTCCCATAAAAATAAAAAATAAAATGAATAACTTGAAAAAAAATGGAATGGAAGAGATGTAAAAGTGATATTTTGACTCAAAAACCAAAACCAAAAAAAAACAATAAATATTAAAAGAATGCAGCCTAAGAGTAACGAATGTGATGTCATAATTTTGGCGAGCAAAAGTAGCAGACGTAGAAAAATAGTTGAATGTGCAGATTTGTATATTTAAAATTATATATGAAAATATAAAGTAAGTTAAAATGAAGTGATCAGTGCAGAGAAATCGTGAAAGAAGCGTTTTTCACTGTTCTATCCTCATCATTCATCCTCTTAATAAGTAATTATGTTGGCAACAGTTAATTAAAACTTACTCAAGTATTTTTTTCGATCCATTCTTCCACTCGTTACATTAAAAAACTTTCAAGTAATGAACTAAGTATATCTCACGACTACGCGATTACCACCTAGTTTGAGTATTTGTTTACAAATTGGATGAAAATTTTACAGCCATCATCGTTACTCGCACATTGCAATCTTGTCTTTGCCATTTTTGGTTGCAGCCTATGACAGGATTAAATTGTATTTGAATGTCCGCTTAGTAGCGCATACATTTGATATTTAAACCAGGGATCATGGGATGTCCAACTGTTTCCAGCGTGAGAACGCCTCAAAATTAGCGTTTTTTATAACATTTTCCATTGTAGCCAAATCGGTCAAATTACTAATTTTTGGGAATTTAAATTAATATACCCAATATTTATTAAGATTAATTATTATTATACATGTATCCGTTATACATTAAAACAATTTATTTTTGAACTTTAAATACTTAATCAAAAGGACTGAAAAGAGTTGGGCATCCCATTATCCCTGGTGTAGCCGATTGCAAATGTTCTCATACATACAAAATTTAAATGGTCCAGCGATCGTAGAGTGAACATATTGCTGAATTCTGAGCGCGTTGTTTGCTGGTCTCTAAGAACTGAGAACCTAACTAGTGTTGCCTCTTCAGGTATATTCAGTTTATATTCAGCCTATGTGCAGCTGTTTACTCAGGCTATGTGTAACTTTTTTCTCTGTTTTGAATACGAGTGAAAAATTATCAATGGTGTAAACGAGTTTTACAATTTGCTGCGCCAACTGGAATGTAAAATTTTGACAACAGAAATTCATAACAAACGCATTTTCGTTGTTTGTTTTATTGACAGATTTCAAAAAGCCCAATGCTATTGACTTTTTGTCATTCTTTTTATGCTAAATAACTCATATAATAAATATTATCTGTCCTCGATTCGAAATATCTTCGCGCTGCTCTCTTGTCAAAATCTAAATGTAAAAGCAAAAACAAAAATATGGGCTTGAATTCGTTCAAGAGAGCATGCGGATGAGATAAGTTGTGTTACAGCTAGCTACAATGCTACTAAGTTTTGGTTTGTATATTTTAGGCCAGTTTTACCATTGTGAATGACTTAAATGACAAATTATTCTCAAAAATAAAAAATAAAATATTTATTTTTTCGGTTTTTAAGGACTGAAGACTACATAAATTATAATTCATTAAAATCCGAAGAAATTGAGATAACACGCCTCACGCCGGTAAAGTTATGGACCTGTTCAATTAATTTCTTGGAAGGTTCAGAGATGCTCAAATCTTTTGGGCGCCCTTAGTATGGCCTTAGCATGGATGTTAATGAAAGCGCCTTCTATGTACAATATATTTTTCAATCTCTGTTTCCACGAGCTAAGTGCTGTTTCTGTAGATTTTCCTTTTGAATACGCATGCTGCGAAACTGCCATCTACAATAGTATAGTGTGTTCGATTCGCTTCTCTCCGACGCTTGGCGAATCGAAGACAGCTATAATTAATTGAAATACAAATAATATTTTGTATAAAGCCTTTGAGAAAGAAGTTTTTTCTCAAGACATACAAATTATATATATTGTGATCGATTTTTAAAATGGTGACTGAAATCTTTGAACTGAAAATCCTTGTGTTTATTCTTTCATACATTTTTAATGTCATCAAACCTGTGTATCTAGTAATAAATAAGTTATTAAAAAAAATAATCTTCTAAAATTTGTTTTATATGCAGAGCTGCTCGATTCAGCGACAATAATTTTTTGCTGCTCATTTGGGTATGAAATATCGTTACCAAATATTTTCGTATGCCTGAACTGAATCGTTGGAAAATATTTGACTAGTATGTGTAGAAATTTCGCAAGCATTGATCTGCTTTTCTCACAAACCACTAAAGCTATTTCAATTTTGCTGGGGACAAGTTTCCCCAGCTCCTCCTCATACGCTGTGATCTCTCCATATAATAGTTATGTTGAAAACCACTAAGTGGGATAACTCAATAAAATAAATACACCATAGACATTAAATTTTACACCTGAGTTGGTACGGAAGAGCTTCATAGGAAACTGTATCAAAATTGGTGTGGCACAGCGCACTTTTGGGTGAAATCTAATGCATCAGCAAGCAACTCCAGAGTTAGCGAAACACCGATCAAAGCCTCAACCTTGTTTCGCATATCGGCCAACGTCTTGGCAATAGCGAGTGTTCTCTGTAAAAAGCGACTTGACTTCTACTGTGTGCCAGGTCACAAAGGCATCGAGGGAAATGATATAGTGAACGAGAGTGAAGAGTGGTATATGAATGTCATTCGAAAACGTGCTTGATAATCCATGTCATACAATGATCTGGACAGGAGCACGGTAAGGGAGGTCAAAACGCGATGGAATGATCTACTGCAAAAATGCAAAAGTCATGAGTAAAGTGGTAGATCGGACATATACAAAATGGGGCTGAAGAAGACTGCAGGAAAAGTTAAGAGCAAGACACCAGGGAAACAATGAAGCGTATCTTGTGCACTTGTCCCGAATTGGCAAGGCGAGAATAAGCTAGTCTAACCTAACCTAATATATCAGGAGATACTTTAAGCTGGAAAAAAATGCGTATCCTATGTAACAAAATTTTAAATTCCGTATGATTCTTTTATTTTACAGTAAATAAATCAAGAACTAATAAAGATATCGGAAATACTGCCTTTAAGGTGTGCTATAACACATGAAATTTAAAATCAAAATCGGACCGTGATTCTTCAACCCCGGATACTGAACATTTGGAGCATATTTCCTATGGCAGAAATTATCGGCAAATCTGTGAGGTATGGTACTGTAATGCAAGGAGAATCCTTTTCTGATACTAATTTATCTTTAAGTCAATATCTAGTATACACTTTTTCGAATTTCCGGTTGACCTTATATCATATATATTGGTCAACTATATGTTTTCTAAGTGAAACTCAGTGAGCATTTTTCTTTAGAATTGACTTTGATAGCGGTGAATATATTAGGTATCTTAATGAAATTGAGAAAGCATCTTTTTCTGGAAATGATACGTCGTGGTAACAGCATTGGATCAAATCGGATCTTCCCTAGCCCCATATACCTAATATAAGGACTTCAGACTTCGGGTTGGCTTTATTCCGTATATATCGGTCACTATATAAAATATGTGTATATGTTTTTCGTTATTTTAACAAACTGTATCTTGAATATGTGTCAGCTTTCTTCTTATAATTGCGTTGAAACATGTTTTCGAGTATATTTGAGTAATGAAAAATCAGTTCAGATCCTCGCCTAATCCCAATATACCCGATACAGTATTTGTCTTTCCAGCTGACTTTTAATATCTTATGTTATAGTGCTATGATACTAGTTGTAAAGTAGATTTTAATATAATGATTTAATCGCTGGGTTTGTATGTATACAGCTCTCTTGTTGATACACAGCTAATCCAATATGTGGGTTTAGTGATGTACGCTGTTAAGATAACACATTGAAAACGTGTTATATTTTGTGAACCCTTAAAATATAGAGAAAGTTGAGACAAAACTTGTAGAGGAATTTCTGGAAGAAGCTTAAACCATTTACAGATCCATAGTAAAAACCGAGAACTGAGAAGGCATTGATAACAACTTTCGCAGTGACGATCAGAAAATTTTTTAAAATCCAAAAAGACTGTAAATGTTAGAATACTTTTGGATAGTCCATTATTTAGCAACTTTTAACGATAACCTGAAGGAATATTTAATTATACAAATAGAAAGCATATAACTCGACACATGCTGCACAATAATATAGTAGTTTATATCACCTAATGTTTGTTTGTAATACCTTATCTAGAAGACAATTATGAGATTTTATATTATCAAAATTTGGGTGGATGCCCCAGACCTCTGTACAAAATAATGTATAGGCTTCATACTTTTCTGCAAAGTTAATATTATAGAAGCATTAAC